ATGAAAGCAAAATGCAGGAATACATTTCTTTACTTATGGATGGGTAAAAACGACTGCACGGTTGGTGTGGTGGCTGGGCAACCGGCTGCCGTGCAACGTGTCGCGGGTTCGATTCCCTCACAGAACAACACTTTGTGTGATCCACAAATTGTTGTTTCGGGTCTGGGTGTCATTGTGTATGTGAACTTGTATGTTTGTAAACGCACCCACGAAACAGGACAAAATCCTAGTGTGGGTAAACGTTTTTTAAAAATAGAGAAAAAAAGATAAATAAACAGAAGGCATGTCTTGCGCTGGACAAAGATCTATTCTCAGATGGCGAATCAGGAATTTGCATTGATCAATATTGCTTAAGATAGATTGATTGCTTTAGAAATATGATTAAATATCATTACTACAGATTGAATATATGTATCTAATGGTTCATTTTTCTTCATGGTTTGATCACCTGTCTATGGTGTACAAAAATTTTAACAGTAAATAATAAAACATAACTCAATAACATTTTAATTACCAAATTGAAAATAGCGGCTTACTCTTTTTACACTTGAGTTTTTCTGAGTCATTTTACGTGCGTTCCGATATTTTGAAATGAATTTAGCATGTCTCATGATAATTACTAAGACTGCCTCGTTGGCCGAGTTGTCGCCAGTGCGACTACTGGGCAAGGGATCTCGGGATCGATTCCCAGACCGGGCAAAGTATTACTGGGGATTTTAAAAGAAATTCTCAGTAGTATCACGGAGTTTTGAATTGTACCCCATATATGGCAATAGGCTCACCCCCTATTACATGAGACTCATAACATAAACAGTGAAAAGTGGGTGTTACATTGTGGCATTGAGTGTTGTAATGTGCACTAGTCTGCCTACCCCTTCGGGGATAAAACACGTTATGCTATGCCACAATCATTATTATACAGAAGCATTAGTTCTTACTCATAACATAAATAGTGAAAAGTGGGTGGTACATTGTACAATGGCATAATGTGCACCTCTGCCTACCCCATCGGGGATAAAAGGCGTGATGTTATGTAGTTCTTACTAAGTCTAGATACTACAACCTTAACCTACAACACATAATCAAATACTAAAACAAATAAATAAATAATTAAATGATAGATAAAGCAATTGTTTCGTGTAACAGTGATATCTTAGCGGTGATAAGTAGTGGAACAAATTTTATTTGCACGTCCCCTTCCTGGACCCCTTATTTATGACGCATTGGGCCATAATGACCCCATGATGCATGGCAACACTAATGTCTCATGTTTATGTCATTTTAGTAGTACAACGTGGTGTTTATTCTATTAACTGTCTTGATTTACCATAGATTCGATACTTAGATTTTTCTTCTCTATATTGGGAGTAACCCCAATTACCGAATCCCACACAATCTAGAAATTCCCAATCCCTAAAAGGCCAGGAACGCACTTCTAACGCCTCTGGTGTTTTAGGTGTCCATGGGCGGCGCTCCGATCGCTTACCGGCTTATCCCATAAAAATGGTTAAAATAAATAATAATACTTATAGTCAATTTATTTAAAATTATTAACGAAGCTGAAAAGTATTTTTTCTTCGTTTGCAAATGCTAATCTGCGCACCCACCAGCACCAGCAACAGTGTGATGTCACCAAAAATCGCGAGTTACTCACGTGAATATACTGAGAAAAGCTCTATTAGTTTCGAGCCACAGACGGACTCCTCCTCATGAGCAGCGTACGCGGTCGCGGCGATGTCACGCAGCCACAATAGGCTGCTAGCCTCTCTGTGGCTCTAAACTAGTACTAGTAGCTTTTCTCAGTATATTCATATGAGTAACCCACAATTTTTAGTTAATTTATTATGTCTCACGATAGTTATTATAAAAATATTCTATAAATTGATACTAAGTTTGAGATAAGAGATACCTAGACAATAAGATTTTCTTCCGTGTCACATTCAAGTTATAATATTTCGTTTCAATAACCGTGCAGGCAACACATTACTCGACAGTTTGACACAACCACAATCACATCGTCCAATACAATAGATGATTACTGAATAGATACGTATATCAAGAAGTAGAAACTAGAGAGGTTAATCAAGGCTTTGTTACTGTGGCACAAAGCTGCCTCTCAAGTGGCGCCGGAGGCATCACTTTGTGTTGGCCAATTACTTGCCACTCACTTTATCTGCTAAATCGACGATGATAGAACGGGTTTTTCTTTAATATCTTTTGATTTTGGCATATCAAGTGTTGGTGCTGTAGAATTAAGAACATTAACCCTATGAGTACCGTCATTATAGACACAATTAAAGAACAATAGGTTGCGGTCACCGGTGTCCTCGCGGTGTTTGATAGTTTTCACTACTTCTACTCTTACAGTAGGCTAATTGGCTAGTTGTTTCGACTTTTCAATGCAATAAATAATTAAAAAATAATCATACTCTTATCCACTGATTCGACAGTTTACCTACTTTTGGATTTTTCCTCACAATTTTAAAGAAATAAGTATGCTATTTGACGCAGAAATATGATGACTTCATAAGTTGTGATCCAATACAAAATTCATAGAAAAACATCGTTTTTGACATTACAATAAAAGTATTGAATTTAACTGGTTGTCAACTATCGTATTATTATGTTTTTCTCGACAGTCGCCGCGCGGAGGTCGCGGAATGCTGCTCATGAATATGAACCTCTAGCATGGCTTGAAACTAGTCGAGTTCCTCGTCATATAATTACTTGAGTATACCGAAAAACATAATAATTAATTTAGTATGTCTTACCTGTAGGCGTCGTTAAAGTTGACTAACTTGTACTTAAATATCGTGCTATCTCTATCATTTTACAAAGAATTTGTAGTGACAGAACTATACTTAAGCGCGACTTAAAGTTGAGTAGCGTTTCAGTATTCTGGGGCGTAAGGGACATGTTTGATAGAGACCCGGTAACAGGACTCTGGTAAACTAACTTTTTATCGCCTTTTTAATTCTCGTGTTAAGCTTAGTCATTACTGATTATGACAAATCCCTCTAATATAGATGAGACCAATAGTCTAATGATGGACTGACACAGCCTGTTGTTGGTATTGCTCAAGTTGTACTAAGCTATGCGTTAAAATGGGTACAAATAAACATGAATTCATTTCTAAACTCACAAGCCTGTCACGGAAACCAAACAACTAAACCAAAACCACTAAATCAAACCAGAAGCAAAATAATTATCGAACTGTCATTAAAGTACCTATTTCAATGATTGATTCAATGACGAATTTTAACCGCATCCATTTATGAAATTCGATTCCTTAAAATAGAGAACCGAATAATTATTATGCATTACATGTGCTCACGGAAGGTGTCAGTCAATCGGCTATGACATAGCCGGCTGGACAGGCTATCGGCTATCGTCTTACAGAGCCGGCACTTTCACGCACTAGCAAGCAGACTGTGGACACGGAGGCACTTTCCAATTAAGTATTTAGTGTTAAGTTCAGTATGGAATGTACGCATTTATAACATGTTAGTCACTAAATCGTTTCCGTGGGATAAAAAATCGTAGTTTAATCATGCCAAGGAAGTAATGGTTTATTGAACCAAAATAGTGTTTTATTTATTAAAGAAACCTTTGATTAGCTTATAATTCGAAGATGAATTTTCGTTGTTACTACGCAAAATATTCAAAACTGGTGTTTGGGTAAGAAAACAAGGGGAAGACAGTCAATTCTACACATCCAACAGAATAGATTTTGAATTATACATGTAAATCATGTACAGTAAACACTATACTATACAACCACAATCGTAGCTGTTAGATAGCATTCAGAGTATGGAATATAAAGCCAAACTCAAGCGCTATTGTTCTTAAGTGCCAACTAACTTTATTCAGAGTTTGGTTTGTGATGAAGCCGATGAAGGTTTTTTTTTTAAGGGGGGAAAATCATCAAATGACTGCTCCCGCCTGGGTGAGGCGGAAGGGAGTGTCAGACTCTTACTGACTAAAAACCACCCCGTTCCTTCTCCTGCACGTCGAGCCGGAGCCCCGGTTACCCGTTAGGTTCTCCGCGACAGCCGATGAAGGTTAAATCTATATAATAAAAATGCACATAGTAAAAAGTACGACTGATACCAAGTAACATTGCATAAACTCCAAGGATAATCCCGTCTTCCATCGAACAAACACGTTAATACATTTTTATGAAAATTCCTCTTACAAAGAATCCGCTTTCTCAACGAAATAACATCAACGTTCTTTTGTTTAAGACATCGTTTCAAATCGTTTATAATTGGTTCTCAGGATCGAAATTAAAAATTCCATATCTCTAAACGGTTGCAGCTATATGGGTGTACCAGAAAAATTCTCAAAGCCACCTAATTGGATACAGAGTAGAGACCACTACAAAGGGGGATGTTTCAGATAAAAATGAAAATTAAATCTTCCAGGCGGATGGGCAGAGTAATGTTTTTGACGGTGCCGTAGGCGGGCCGGTTCCCCGCGGTCCCCCCTCGCCCCCCGACACTAGGGGAGCCGCAAATCGACTATCAAAATGCTGGTGAAAAAGTTTTGTTGCGTTGTTCTCTGTGACCGCCCGCCGCACGCTTCCCTATGTTGCGATTTTATTTTTTCTGTTAATTTGCCGTGGCCGCGCCACTGTGCATATATTCCTCGCTGTACGTATGTAGTATGTTGTACGTAGGTACAGCCACGTTGTGCACTTCATTTGCTGTTATTGATTATTCATAATGTCTGCCTCATGACAGTGTTCTGTTTTCGTTTAAAACTGAGCAATGGCATTAACGTAGTCTTTAGTTGTCTTTTATCTTTTTCTATATATTTTCAACGAGATCAGATACTGACGACAATATGCAAAGCTGTTCGAAATATTAAAAGTTTAATAGATCTTCATTTTACTACAAAAACCACAGTTCACATTTTTAATGAAGATGATGATGATTGACTGATGACTTGGATTTATAAATACACACATCGTCATAAAGTCTGAAAAAGAATCCACTTACTTTTTTTCATCGCCGTCATATCGCCGCCATTGCAGCTGATGGCTTGTGGGCCCGGACTTAGGCTATGGAGTTGGTATGGCGGGGTCCTAGCATCGATCTGCGCTGGCCACGGGGCCCGGGGCCACGCTGGCGTTGCACCCGGGGCTCCCAGCAGTCGCAGGCGCTCGTACACCGGCGTTGAACATTCTGGAGACGGCTGCTGGTTATTAGCTTTCTCCTTCTGAGCTGCTAAGTTGCGGAGAACCCGGTTTATTGATGATACCTGCGGAGAAATGGGTAGGTCAGTACCTTATAACAAGCGCAATTCTAGAAGACCCTTTTGTAGAAAGTATAATATATTTGTAGAACGAAATTTTGAAAGTTGGGGTTAGTTGAAATACATTGAAATATAGATACGGTATACCCTGAAAGGATAAGTACGTAACTTTTAGGTGAGTAATATGATTTGTTTCCATTTCAGTCAAATAGGTAGTGAATCTAAAAACGAAGTTAGCAGCATTTCCAAATTTTTTTTATAATAAATATTAAGAATTTGGAAATTTAAAATATGAATTTAAGATTTCAGGAGTTCTGGAGACAATTCTGGCTATGATGAAATATTATTTCAATTAACAATTACTCAAATACACTTGTATATCATAAATGCTCTATTCAGTAACACAATCACACAATGTCCAACCACTTCTCATTCCAAAGAGGTGTCAAGTAACCCAATATTTATTTTATTAAAGAAAAAGAAATCTGATCAGTACGGTCTCATACATCATCCACACAGATTAAAAAAAAACAACTGACCCAATTTCTTACCATCGATCGGATTCTCCGAAATCACAAGTAATGAGAAAGGTCGAGGTTTGATAACAAAATAAGGATAAAACCTATTGGCTGTATGACTGAGGGCCTTTGCCATGATACCCAATGTTTATAATAAAGGGCAGTGATGACACGCGATCGGAAGGACGTGATCTAAATTGATTATTAAAAATTGCGGCGCGTATGATTTTTTTCGTGTTTCACATTGTTTTTGTGATTTAATGTGTTTTAATTCGGTTTTGTGTTAATTGCGTTAAATAGATTGAAGATGTTTTGTAAATATGTAATAGTTTTACGTATTTTTCTATATAACTATCGTGAGACTAAATTAACTAAAATTGCAGAAATAGGTAATTGAAAATATAAATATAATATGTTACAACTAGATGTTCAAAGGATGAGGTTAATGTCGATGGTGTCTAATAAGATTTTTTTAAACTCTTATTAAAACAAAAGAGGCTTTTTTTTTCTTCTTCAAAATAGTTAGTAAGCGAATGCGAAATCGTGGATAAAAAAAAGCAAGTAGTAGATAAGTAGGTGCGTAGACAGTAAATACATTTAACTATTTTATAGTCAGCAAGGACATTGAAAGAACGGTGGACTTAGGGCCCGTACACAAAACTGCGACGAGATGCTAATTCGCAACGCAAAAAATTACGATGCTAATTGCTGCGATGCGATTTCATGCGACAAGGCGTCGTCCAAGGTGACCTTTCCTTCGACGACCGTCAACCGTACTAAACGTATTTTAAATTGAAAACTAGGTCGTGACATGGATCGTAAAAAGAAGTATGCACTTCTGTTATTGCTTAGGAGATACAGGAAAAAGAAATAAAGAAGATTTTGGGAAGATAAGATTTTGATGTGCGATGCGATTCAATTCGCAAGTTCTTGTGATGCGTAACTAGCACATTTTTGCATCGTAGTTTTGTGTTCGAGCCCTTAATGTCACTTAGAAATGCTTAAAGTACCAAAATGTCAGTGGGTTCATCTATGTGTGCGTGTGTAATGGGTTACCACGTTGCCAGACTTAAGAAAAATGACAGAAGTCCTTCGTATCAATGTGTATGTTCTGTGTGTAAGTCTATAGTAACCAGTGCCTTTAGCCAAACGCTACTTTAGCGCTTGTCTACAGAGAAAGTAGAAAACTAAATGTATAGGACATTGAAAAATGTCAAAATTTACGTCAATTCCATATAATTTGGTGTTCTATTCTACATGTAGACAAGCGCTAAAGTGGCGTTTGGCTAAAGGCACTGCTGCCACAATCGTTGTTTCAAGAGATGGTGTCTGCCTTCAACGTCATTGATAGGCAAGTTCTTATTGTTAATCGTTTTTTTTACAATCAGATACTCCTTTCACCTTCGTCAGACATGGTGGTCTGTGACAATGACAGAGTCTAAGTAGTCGCCGAGTTAGATTAGAATCTGATGACTATCTTACATGCTGCTAATATGAATACGATTTGTGTTATGGTATTAAGTAGGTAGGTACTAAAGAACAAAAAGGTTTTTAAATAGGTTAGTAAAAAATCTCTAGTTTTGAACCATTATGTAAAAATGTTGACCAATAAAGCTCCTTTTGGAAGCGTTTCTATTTTATTTAATAGAAAAGTAATACAGTTTTTGGTGTTTAAGTTTTTTTTATTATTAGTCAAATGAAATGATTCTTGTACTCATAAAGGAGGTTAAACACAGGCTGAGTCTCGTTAAAAAAAGCGCAAAATAAGGTTTCCTTTTTAACAAACTCCCCCTTTCAGCCCACCCATACTCCCAAAAATATGAAACAAAACCGAATATCACCTCGCCAACTGTCACCGCGGCATATGACGCGACGTAGTAACTTAGACATAGGGCAGGAAGGCAAGGTAAGACGATAGACGGTAACCCGACACGCGACTCGCGGTGGTCCGAGCACCGCCATGACTGGCACATGACGGAATGCCCGATGGACCGAGAAAGCGCGCCACGTTTGAAAAACGAACACTGTTTTTTGTTTTAATTTTTTACGAGTCTATGATTAGTGTTGTTGACAGTTCGAATTTTGATTTGTGAGATCACATATGAGTTGAATACAAATGAGGTTTGATAATAAAATAATGTTGCTGCTACTGCGTGGTATGCGTACCATTAAATAAAACCAATTAATTCAGTCTGTAAATGAGACCAGTAGGTACTTTTATTATTTGTTTGATCTGAATTCAATTCAAAAGTAAAAATATTCCAGTTATCATAGATTTTTATTAAAACTTTTAAATGGAATACTTGTTCGATCAGAAAATTATAACGAGACGCATAATTAAAAGTCAAACGGCTGACGTCTGTGAAATTAAATAACAAAATAAAAAAAATAACTGGAAAGGGTTGAAAGTTTTCTCACAAATGAAATGGAAATTTTTAACAAGACATTTGTTAAGAAAGCTCGCAGTGAAAGAATCAATGATTCGAGCCAATTAAATAAGTACTTATTTGTTTGTTATTCTGTTTATTAATTAGCAAAATACAATAAAAGATTTCGCATTGTTATAAAAATAAAGAAAATTAAATGATGTGACGCAAAAACAAAACGGACCAATGGTTTTGTTTTGCATTCCATCTTTGAATTGGCCGTCAGTAAAGAAAATTTTGAATTTCGAATAAATGTTTTATTTTTAAAATGGTTTTATTTGCGCCACTTAACAAATTCATTACAAAAATCGGCACTAAGTATTCAAAACAATTAACCTTCTCATATTAATTGAAATTTTCCCATAATACACAACAATATTTCCCAACAATAAACAATACATCACAGCAGAATTTCATTACGATATAAATAAGCGACCCGATCGCAAAGTGTGGCCATGTGTGAAACCGTCTGTGCTGTCCGTTTTAAAAAAAAAACCACACGTAAAGTACAAACGTGTAAACAGTCCCTTAATTCGAATTACACACATCGATTGACTTATTTCCACGATTGTACTCGACTAATACAGCAATTAGTAAATAACCCTTTTAGTAAATATGTTTATATTATGTGTACACGAATTAATTTTCTTTAGAAGCATGCACGTAGACAATGTACCAACGACAATACGTGCTCATTTCATTCGAATAATTCCAAATACGATTTTTTGTGGTTTCGGAATCATGAGTACGGTTAATTAGTTTTATTTTATTATTTAGTACGGTTTTTGAGTTGCAGTAGCGAGGAATTTTGGGATTAATGTCTACTTATGTTGTAATCTTTCTTAATACCCCCGTAAGGGTAAGTGGTTCTACATTAATTCTTAAAGGTTGACATCTTCTTTAACTGATTTAATGCTTACATTTGGTTACGTGGTACGTTTGGTAAGAATTTCGGCAAGGTTAACTCTTCGCAGTCGCCCATACATATTATTGAAGGGACCCAGATACGGTCAATAAAATATTTAGTATGCATGTTCGAAAATCTAGATGGATTCATTACAGAAACATTAACTTCTAATTTTCATCACAATTTCTTCTTAAAAGGTAAAAGTAAAATTCACACCAGCAATCAAGGCGTTTCGCGGCAATACAACGATCGACGCATTCTGAATACAAAATAAATTACATTAGAACGTTCCGTGTCGCGTTGGTACCTATCAAACGGCACAGTAAAAAGTATGAAAGGTGCCCCCTAAATACCGAGTGAGGTGAAGCGCGAAAATTATCTTATATTTGTTCAGACGCCGTGAACGTAGGGCGAGAATACTTTTCAATAAGCTTAGAGAGCATTTTTTTTTTATTTAGCGAGACCCATCTTGTAAAGCGTGGAGCGTTGTGTAAAACGGAACGCGCAAATAGAGGGTTCCCTATGAATCGATTCGATTTCTCTGATTGCCGCATAAGTTTTTTATTAACGGCGATATGATTTTCTTCTTAGTTTAAATTTTATTTGATTTGATTGTGTGGCTGCTTATTAGTCTGGAGATTTTACTAATGCAATGCTGGAAAATTAATTTAGTTATTAGTAACAAGTGCTTTATGTTTTTTGCTCGGCCAGACTTGGAGTAGAAGGGATTTAAGACTGGTCCATGGTAAGATGCTGATTGTCTTTTACATAATGAACTTTAAACTATTATAATAAGATGTAAAAGTATGAAACAGATGAAACGGCAACTCCTTAGTATTTATTGGTTATTTTTATTATTACCCCACTATATACAATAAATACGGCAGTTAGGTAATAGTTTTATGTTTAAATACCAAGCAGTATTAAAGCCGTTTACAAAATAAAACATCAAAGATGATCCAAATACTTTCCTCGAGCAATTCAAGCTCGTTTACTCCACTCACAATTTTAATGTGCAAAAAATAAAAAAGCAGTGCATTACTCCGGTATTGTGTTAAGTACAGGAGGGTCCCCTACAAAAGGCAACCTGCTGTGTCTATTGTCAGCCAAAGTCGGCACTTTGCGAGTCAATATTTTGGGTGAGTCACTGACTCC